CCATCCAATTCACAAACACAAAACGATACCGCATTAAAAAATAACGAAAGTACATCAATGATTAAACAAGTTCGTAGAAATAGTCGATTATTAAATGATAGAATAGTAGAAGAAGAACTTGGAGCACCAATCAATATTTATCAAGAACATAGAGGTCATTTAGAACAAGACAAAAAAGCACGTACAGAATTAGATATTCAAATACTTAAGGATGATTTATATGATCCAGTTTTGGAAACACCACATCATTCAAATAAAAAACACAACTTATTAAGAAATACAACCATTGGAAATTTAGTTTCTTTCCTTCCATCGAAATTTTTTGGTAGTTATGGAATTATTACAGAAAGTGGACGATCTGATGTATGGAGTTATTATCCTAACGAAATGTTCACATCAGGAGTAACGATGGATGGGGTTAAAGGTGTATGTTGTTCATAAATAGAAAATTTCTTTTTACGGTTTTCGATTCTTTAGAATTCGTTAACGAAAAAAAAAGCTAACAAATTTATCATGAACCTTACTTAATAGTAATAATAATAATAATAATTATAGTTTGTAAAGTATATTGGCAGAAATCGTTATTATTACTATTGTTTTGCTTTTTTGTTTTTTTATACAACAAACTTTAAATAATGTCATTAAAAAAAAATTGTAAATATTTTAAAAAAAATACTGTGTACGTAAAAAGGGATATGTTTTAATAAATAAATATGCCATATGGATATTAATAAATGAAACATATACGTAGTAGTTCGTATAGTTCGTATAGTTCGTATAGTTCGCATAGTTCGCATAGTTCGCATAGTTCGCATAGTTCGTATAGTTCGCGTGATATTAACAAAATCACCTACTGAAATTAAGTAATGAAATTAGTAACGAAATTAAGTAATGAAATTAGTAACGAAATTAAGTAATGAAATTAGTAACGAAATTAAGTAATGAAATTAAGTAACGAAATTAAGTAATGGTGTCAAGCACACCAAACACATGCAATTTGGATTTGACGGAATTGCTCCTTGACCGACGTTTTTTAGTTTTGGTTACGTCTTTTCCTCTATATAAATTTATAATATTCTTTCTTTTAGCAAATATATAACTAATAAATAAATAAAAGATATAAAAAATAATTATACTTACGATGTAGTATGTAATTCATCCAAGAGTACGCTTGTGCTCTTGTGTTTCTTGTGCGTGAAATCGGTCCCTTTAGAAACCTTTGCTTGGGGATTTATGTTTGAAAAAAGCATTTCGAAAAAATCTTTTGTAGTGTCGAAGGTTAGTTTGGCCTGCAACTGAGTCTTCTTAAGATTGAAATTATGATTTTATTATTGTTTTTTTTTTTGCTTGTTGTTTTTAAAAGATATTTGTTTTTTGATGGTTTTTTTTGGATATTTGTTTTTGATGGT